TGAACTCTGAAAGACAAAATAGACATTTTTCTACCACCACCACCACCCTTAGTGGGGTAACAATTCGAGGTCACTGTTTGGAATCCCCTTTCCATGGGTTAAGCTGTGAAGAATGGAACCATTTTAACTTTGGCTTGTTTAGCCTTTTTGTCCAGGTTTCTCCCTGGTATGCTGCTGGGCTGGCCTTTTCCACAGTGTTCACAGGGCCTTCCCATTTCATACCCAAAGAATGAGCTTGTTCTGCACATTTTCAATACAGCACCTGGTCTCCAACCTCCGCTCAACAGGCTTCTTCACCCAGCCCAGCCTTTTATCCACCTTTTTTACATTAAGGCCCGATTGTTCTGCTATTTCCTTGTGGGTTTCTGTTAGTGTCTCTAAAAGGGACTGGATCCGTTGGTCATTTAGCACTTTGGGTTGCCACCCAACTGGAATATCTACATCCAGCCACCATTGCTGGGGTGTTCTCATGTCCCTTCCTGTCATTGCTACAAAGGGAGTATAACCGCGACCTGCTGACCATAGGGCCATTAGAATCATAGGCAGTTTTTCATCCCAATCTTTTCCATTTTCTTTTACCATTTTTCTTAAAGCATCCTTTAGAGTGCGGTTAGTTTGTTCCACTTGTCCTGAGGATTGGGGGTGGCCCCCAATGTGGAACCTTTGCTTAATGCCTAATAATTTACACATTTTCTGCCCTTTCGCTAGGAGAAAATACAGTGGGCGACTCTTGTCCGCAGACATGTCAAGGAAATCCTTCGAGAAGTTCAGGGTTCCCAAAAGGGCTCTTAAGGATGCCACATCAGTAGGGGTGGGAAGTTTTCCAATCAGTTCCACCCGTTGTGCATCTGGGGTTCGTCCTTCCTTTCCCAATATGATCCCTAGGTATTTTACTGCTTGCTGTACCAATTGGGTCTTTGCTCTACTAGCTTTCAATCCAGTATCCTGAATGATGTGTAACACATTCTCAGTGATTCTATCAACCTCCTCCCTATTGTCCCCTTGCACCAAAATATAATAAGCACAGGAAATTACTCTTTTTTGGTCTTCAGGTATCAATTTTTCCCAAATCTTGACCACATGGGAGTGACAAATTGCGGGGGCATTATGAAAACCCTGGGGGACCCTTGTAAAACAGAACCGTTGTCCCCTGGAAGTGAAGCCACATTTGTACCAAGACTCAGGGTGTGAGGGAATGGCGGAGAAAGCATTTGCTAAGTCTGTCACTGAGAACCACTGTTCTCCTGCTGTTACTGCAGCAACCACTTCTTGGTACTTGGACACTCCCGGGGCAGTGGCAGGGGGTTACTGTGTTTAATGCTCTAAAATCCACTGTCATTCGCCAGGTCTTCCCATCCCCTTTTAGTACAGGCCAAATCGGGACATTATTAGTAATAGCCATTTGCACAATAACACCCTGTTCTAACAAGCTTTAAATGGTAGAATTCCTTCCTTCCTCTGCTTCTAAAGGATTCTTGTACTGGGGCTGTGGAGGGGGGTCAGGTCCTCGGATTAAAACCTCAGCATCAATTTTTCCACATTCTAATTTATTTTAGGCCCATACCCTTGGAAACGTTTCCACCCATGGGTCTCCTTCTTCTGCTTGCCCTCCTTCCGGGACCGGGGCCTTTATGGCCACATACCTTTGTACAGCATTAATGGAGGGGGTGGAAGTTTCTGCTGGCTCTTCACTATTTGTCCAGAGGAACCCATTGGCTAAATCCACAATGAGCCCCACACCATTAAGGTAAGGCATCCCCGATATTCCATCCTCCTTATCCACATCTCCAGTTTGATCCAGCTTCTGAATACAATAATCTACCCATGATTCCCAATTTCCTACATGGGTCAGGATCAGTCTTGTGATAAATGCTTCCACTGTCTCCCCTGTGTATGATACTAGTTGTGAATCTACACAACTAGATCTACTATTGACTTGATATAACAATATCTACATTGACTTGATATTAATTGGGTTCCAAACATTTGCCAGAACTTGTATAAATAAATTAGCTATTTTAATTAGCTTATGGCAAGATCACATGAGACATACAGGAATTATGCTGCAAGAGCAGATCCAACCCACTATTGGTCTAACCAAGTTTTACCTTGTTTTTTAGAGGAATTCAATCACCTTTTTACTTCCATAATGAACCTTACAAAGAAACATCCTGTTTTAGTCAAACATGATTTTGATAAGCCATTTCTGTTACACACTAACTCTTCTGCTATTGGGTTAGAAGCGGTAGTAATACTGAACCAAGAATGGGAATAGCCAATGATGCATTCAGCAAGGTCTGGGACACCCCTTCCTGCATCGATTTTGCATTGGGGGTGTGACGTTATCTGGATTTTATTTGATGACATTGTTTTTAAAGAGCCACTCATCTTTAGGTGTAGTGGATCTTGTGGTGATACAAGGACTGGAAAACCTAAGGAAACTGCTTTTCTAACTTCTTTGTTAGCCTGTGTGGTGAAACAGAAGTTTACTTTTGTCACTGGTTTGGTATATCTTATGGGATAATAACTACCAGTTTTAGGGTGCATTTGCCCTGTTTCTCAGCAATTTGTCCTGAATTTGGTATTCTCAGTTGTGACCCACCAAGGCACGGTTACAGCCAGATCCCCAGTTAGTGTAAATCCGGAGTAACTCGAGTCTAGCGGAAGCAGTTGCGGTGACTTTACACTAGCGAAGGATTTGGCCCCAGGAGCAATTCGCTCCATCCGTTGGGTCTGATGCAAACCCCAATGCGCTCGTCCCCTTTACACTGACAGACGCTGTCCTGTGAGTCTGACACAGAGACGGGCCCCAGGAGAGCCAATGTGCCAGGTCTGCGAGGGGAGAGCGACTCAGAACAGGACTCACTCCGGATTGGGGGTCACAGATGAAATGAGGGGCTCTGGGCAGGAAGGAAAGACACGTTGCCCGGGAATGGAAGGGTTAAAACTGCGGGGAGGTTTGTGTTACATTCACCAGGTTGCTGGGTCTCTTGTCTGAGCCCGGAGCCCTGTGTGTGTCACTGCTGCCCCTGCGTGGCTGCCGGAAGAAGGACGATTCCGCAGCCAAGGTTTTTGTATGATCACAAATCGGTTTCGTTTCATTGTGTCTCTACCACAGTAATAGCGGGCGGTGTCCTCGGGCTTCAGGCCGGTCAATTGCAGATACAGCAGGTTGTTGGGGTTGTCCCTGGAGATGGTGAAGCGTCCCTTGAAGGACTGTGCATAGTTGATGGTAGTTGAAGTTGCGTGTATTTCCCCGATCCACTCCAATCCCTTCCCAGGGGCCTGTCTGATCCAGCTCATCCAGTGGCTGCTGAAGGTGAACCCGGAGGCTTTGCAGGAGAGGCGGAGAGAGTCTCCGGGCTTTTTCACATCCCCTCCGGACTCCACCAGTGACTGGGACCGGACACCTGCGAATAAAGACAGGTTATAAATATTGGTATATAAACAGCGATAATGTCATCTATTGTTCTAACTCTGACCGTTATTCAGAGGAGGAAAATACCTTCCAAAGCTGCTACAGCGAAAATTACAAGGAGCAAAAATCCCATTCTCCCTGTTGTTGGAGGGGAAAGTTTTCAGGGGACTGGCTGGTCACTGCACAGACCCAGGGGCTGCGGATTGTGTCTCCGGGTGCAGCCTGGGCAGAGAGAGGCACAGATTTAAACAGGAAACTGTCTCCCTCATTTGCATGTCCCGCTTTATAAGAGACACACACTCCTGCTGCCAGTGATCTGACTGACTTGCCCTAGGGTTCCGGGTGCGGGAGTCAGACTGTCCCGGCCTGTGTGTCTGTGCAGCGCCGGGCACAGGGTGCTGGGATCCTCATTAGACTTTCGGACCCCTATTAATTTCATCTGGTGACCCCTGGTTTGTGTATTTGGGGAAAGGGTAAATAACTACTTTACTGCTTTAACCCAAAAGGCTGCGGCTTCTCAGTGACAGATCTGGGGATTGAGGGGTTTTAAGCCGGGAAGATGAGTAGCCGCATTTGTATCTCCTTCTTTTCTTAAGGGACTGGGGAATTCAGCTGCGAATGGACTCCAGATCCCAGCCCCGAGCTCACGGAGGAGAGTGACGGACTAGAGAGTCTAGCAGGGACTGTGTGACTGTGTCTTTAACACGCTCCCTGATACTTGATCAAGCCCTGGTAAATTCACATATCATCCTTAGGTCTGGCTCCTTCAAAGCTCTCGTGTTAAATATCCCCCTGCACGTTGCCTCTCTTAGTTAGCGGCCTAAATTCTGCAGAAATGGGTTGAAGGAAGGAAAATAAGTTACATATTGACACCGCTGTGAGACAGGTTGTGTCCTGCCCAGATGTAATCTTGAATTTGATTTCAGTTTAAACAGATTTATTGAAACACAGACCCGCAGAACGACTGTCTAACACATGAATTAACCAGACAGTAGTGGTGATAATTTACTGTGTGCTCAGAAAACCAGGCAGTTCTTAAAACGAGACGCTCTCTGTAGAGGGGGTATTTTATTATCAATGGGCATGTGCAAGAAACTTGGAGTTTGAAAAAAGATGAACCCACTAGATTCTGTATAAGGAATTTCCACGCTCTGCCTGTGAATTTAGGATTAGTGACCTCTTAGCCCCCCTCCTGCAGAACATGGCATTGGCTGTTCAGGAACCCCAGTCGCTTTGCAAATGAAGCAGCGTGTTCAAGAAACACAATTCAGCCTTCCTCAGGTGTGTGCAAACTGTGGCAAAACCATGGTGTGAAAAAGTCGAGTTTAATCAGGTTCCACCTTGGCTCTATGGCTCCTGCTTCCTGCCTGTCTTGTCCAGCTTGGTTTGCCGGCAAGGCAGGTGGAAGGACAGACAGCTAAGTGTGAATAACACTTCTCAGAAGGAATCTATTTCTGCACCACGAGGAAATGTATAAGGGAGGCGGTCTCGGTTCTGTCGGAACCGTGGGTCTTTGATAATCACAGTGAATGTTCAGAGACTGAAGCCGGGTAAAGCACTGGGGACTTTATACTCTGTTCCTCTCTCGCTTCTGTCTGACTGCTCTGTTCTGGCAGTGACTGGGGGCACGGAGAGGGAGGGGGGTTCGCGCTGGAGGTTTCTGTGCTAACTACAGGAGGTTTCTGATCGCTGTGTCTCTCGCACAGTAATATCGGGCGGTGTCTTCGGCTCTCAGGCTGTTCATTTGCAGATACGCCGAGCTGCTGGACTCATCTCTGGAGATGGTGAATCGCCCTTTAACAGCATCACTGTAATATGCTGCTAAATTATTAGCAGGCTCAAGTATCTCTGCGACCCACTCCAGTCCTTTCCCGGGAGCCTGACGGACCCAGTTCATCCAGTGGCTGCTGAAGGTGAATCCGGAGGCTTTGCAGGAGAGGTGGAGAGATCCCCCAGGGGTTTGAATCCCCCTCCGGACTCTACCAGCTGGACCTGTGACCGCACACCTGAAAAGACAGAATGAGAATCACATTCACACCTGGCCTGGCTCAGAGCCCCTTGGAAGCAGCAGAAAGGTTCCCAGTGACGTCACTGCGCTTTGGGTCAGGGTAGGGATGTGCAACATCCCCTGGTGTCTCCAGTCCATGTAGCAGGGAAGGGGATAAAATTACCTCGAAGGGCTGCTAGAAAGAAAGCGAGGCTCAGCCACAGTCTCATGTTGCTGACACTGGAGGGTTTTCTGGTGGGAACTGCACCGACGCCCAGACTTGCCCCTCCTCCCTTCTCACACGGCGGGGTCCCGGAGATCACAGGGTTTCTATAGCGCGCCGAGGCACTGAATTTGCATCTCCTGATCTTTATAAGACACGTCTTGGACCTCAGCCCTGAACAAACTCAGCCTCCCAAAGATGGGTGTAGTGGGAAAGGGTTGTGTGAGTAAAGGAGAAGAGTAAGAA